CCGGGCCGGGCCGGCGGCTGAGCATCCCGCATCCCGCAGCCCCTGCCCGCCACACCGGCCCTGCGAAGCCTGGGGGCATTATTTTTTAACTCTGGGTCCAGACTTCAACTCTGAAAGCATCGCGAAAGATGGTGTTTCTTTTCTTTTCTTTTTCTTTTTTTTTTACCTACTTGAACACCACGCGCACCCAAAGGCGACCATCGTTAAATACATTTACGGCAAGATCATTTTTATTTCAACTTGCTGTCACTTAATGCTTTCGAAATTACTGTAGCAACATTTCGCTCAAATATATTCCTTAACGAGTCGCTTGCACGGGCACTGAAAAGATGGAATGGGGAAAACCTCTTATAAAAGTCAGCCTTCTCCGCACAAATTGTTAGGTTTTAATTCAGGAAAAAAACTTCTACTTTAACGCAAAAGAGAACAGGGGATCACTTTTTCACCATCTTATCTTCAACGCGGATGCAATCTACTGTTAAAGCTGCCAGTGTCGGTGTTTAGGAAGCTCACTTGCTCTAATGAAAAGATTAAATATGAAACACTCTTCTCGATTTAAGCACCAAAGCGTGCAGGGTAAGTTGTACGCACAGATATAAACACGCGCATCCACACGCATGCACAAACACACATCGGACACACACATAATAAAAGCCTCGGGACTGGGAAACTGGGTGCAACGTCTGACTGGCGCACCTTCCAGAAACTCGCAAACTGATCAACCTCAGCGAACGCTAAAAAGGGTTCGGTTGTTTTACGCCGTTAACATCTCCTCTGCAGTACGGAAGACCTCGCTCAGATGGCAGGGAGTGCTTCCAGCTGCCGTCCCCAGACAGTCGCCTCCCTGGGGACGAGCCCCGGGCCGCCGTTCCCATCGAGGCTCCCAGGCACCGGTGCGACCCTTCCTCCGCTCCCAGCACCGCACGCACGCTTTGCCACCAGCTCTCGCAAGCAACGCTTCAAATTACTCACTTAGCCCAAATTAGCCCTGTACCGGTGCATCTAACTGTCATGCTGTTAATGTTTTACTTTAGCGTAACACCCGATTTGAGACCGTATTGCACAATGTTTTGTCATTTGCGCTGCAAAATAAATCCAGAGGAAGGCACGGATTACTGCGTGTACAAGGGGAAGCTCAAACGCAGTTTCAGTGACAGCTTTCAGCAGCCCAGTGTGGCAGGCTGGATAATATTGATACAAACTCTATTTTCTTTCATTTTATTGTTTTCCATCTCCTAATAAACCGGGGTAGCCTCTTGACCCGAGTCAGCTGATCGGAATCACATGCGCCGGGCTTGCTGTGCTGCTCTCCCCGTCTCGCCTCCATCTTCTCTCCCTCCCTTCGCGGTGAGAAAGGAGCCGAGCGGAGCCGAGCCGGGGAAGCCCGGCTGCAGGCTCCAAAGGGCAGCGTGATCGATCCGAAACGCCGCTTTAAAGCCTCATCAATCTTCATCTAGGTTGCTCAAGTAATTACGCCCGATTCTCTTGTACGATTACAAGTGGATTTGGGTTTCTATTCCCCAGGCCCCCTTTCTTTGTGTTTACAGAAGGGGGGTCTGGGCAGACAGCGGCTCCCTGCCCTGCAGAAGCACTTGCCCTCTCAAACAGAGCGTCCCAGCCCTCCCCTCGCCCTTCCTCGCAGCGCGGCCGGGGGCCGCCGCCTGGCCCGGCGCACGGTGATGGGCTCCCGGGCCTTTGTGCGGGAAGAAAAGCTTCTTCGGAAGGCGCGTCCTGGAAACGACCCGATATTCTATCATTTTAAGGAGGCGTTTTGTGAGCTTTGCTGAATCCCAGAAGGAAGACCATCAATTTAATCCAATTACCTCTTTTCCCTGGTGTTGTGTGGCTAAAATAAAAATAAAGCCACCGCTACTTGATGGTCAAAAGGCCAAAACCTATAATCTGACATCCAGGAGAAGACAATAGGTGCACCCCGGTTAGCGGGTGTGTTAGCGAAAAGCACTCACGGACTGGAGGAGGGGGCAGAGCTGCAAAAGCTGGGGGTGGATGTGGAGGAGAAAGGGGACATTCACTTC